CTGTTTTTCTCTAGTAGATCTCCTTAACGGTGTCTGTGGTAGTGGCTCTTGGGGTGGTTGCTCCCCCTCAATCTCTGGCTCAACATCATCTTCTGCTGCATCATCATGAGGTGTTTGCACTTCCTCATCAATATCATGAACAGCAGAGGGATTGAGAGGATCTAAATCAACAAGATCATCAGTACTAGACTCAGCTGACTCAAGCTTGTCGATGTCTTCAATAGTCTGATCTTCCAAGAAAACAACATCTCGGCTTCTGACAACTTTCTTGTCAACTGTATCATACAACCTGTATCCAAATTCTTCATGCCCATAGCCAAGAAATATGCATTGCTTTGCTTTTGGATCAAGCTTGGACCTTTCATCTTTTGGAATATGAACAAAAGCTCTGCAGCCGAATACCCTCAAGTGATCATAGGAGACTTCCTTCCCTGTCCAAACTTTCTCTGGCACATCACCATTCAACGGAACTGAAGGAGACAAATTGATAAGATCAACTGCGGTCCTCATTGCCTCACCCCCAAAAGGATCTTGGCAATTTAGAATGTGAGAGCAAACATCTGACTCTCTCAAGAATGGTGCGATTCATTCTCTCTGCAACCCCGTTCTGTTGAGGTGTCTTTTTAACTGTCTTTTCATGCCTGATACCATGATTTGTGCAATACTGATCAAATGGTCCAATATATTCACCACCATTATCCGAGCGAACACATTTCAACTGTCTACCTGTTTCTCTTTCAACCTTGGCCTGAAAAATCTTAAACACATCTAGAACTTGATCTTTAGTTTTCAGTGTATAAGCCCAAACTTTTCTAGAGTGATCATCAATAAAAGTGACAAAGTATAGAGCACCACCAAGTGTCCTAACTTTCAAAGGACCACATACATCAAAATGTACCAAATCTAAAACATGAGATTTTCTAGATGCAATGTTTCTACGGAATGATATTCTGTTTTGTTTACCATGGAAACAATGAACACAAGTTTTCAAAGGCGTACCTTTTATCCCCACTAGAAGCTCTTTCTTGGACAAAACTTGCAATCCTTTTTCACTCATATGTCCAAGCCTTCTATGCCATAAATCAGTGGATGAGTCATTCTCTAAGGTATTCACAACACCCTTGCAGATTTTTGCTTGCATAGTGTAAAGAGAACAAGTCTTCTTTCCTTTTGCTACCACTAGAGAACCTTTGGAGAGCTTCCATTTTCCATTACTGAAATTGTTGATGTAGCCTTCATCATTTAACTTTCCAGCAGAGATTAAATTGAGTCGAATATCTGGTACATGCCTCACATCTCTAAGCAGCAATTTGCATCCAATATTTGTTTCCAAGCAAATGTCACCCATGCCGACAATTTTTGACACATCTTCATTTCCCATACGGACATTCCCAAAATCACCTTGTGAGTAAGAAGTAAAGAAATCAGCCCGCGAAGTAACATGAAATGAAGCTCCAGAATCAATTACCCAATCCGTCTCTTGGCCAATCAAATTAACACTAGCATCATCACGGATAATCATGAGTTCATCATCGGTAACTACAGCTGTATCAATTTGCTTTTTCTCTGAATTTTTCTCTTTGTTCTGCTCCTTGAACTTGAGTTTTCTACATTCCCGCTTCATGTGCCCTTTCTTGTGACAATAATAGCATTCAACATCCTTTTTTGACATCGAGCTTGAACGACCTCTAGATTTATCACGGTTGTGCGGAACCCTACTCTTACTCCTGCCTCTCTCCCGGTTTTCCATTACAAGTGCCTCGGAGTAAGAAGAACCTGATGATTTTCTTCTTGTTTCTTCATTCAACAAACTGCTGGTAACTTGACTCATTGTTACCACTCCATCAGGTGCGGAGTTACTAACTGTGACCACCAAAGTTTCCCAGCTTTCGGGAAGTGAACTAAGAAGTAACAAAGCTTGCAACTCATCATCAAAAGTAATTTTCATGGCGGCCAACTGATTCACAATGCTCTTAATCTCATTCAAATGCTCTGCAATAGAAGTACCCTCCTTATATTTAGAGTTCACAAGCTTTCGAAATAAAAAGGCTTTATTCACTGCCGTCTTTCTATTATACAAACTCTCCAATTTGGTCCAAAGACCATGTGCAGATTTTTCTGTAGAGACATGATGAAAGACACAATCATCAATCCATTGCCGAATAAAACCGACAGCTTTCCGGTCTAGCTTTTTCCACTCGTCATCTTTCATCCCTTCCGGTTTGCCACTATCACCCTCTATGGGTCCATTCAAATCTTTACAAAATAAAAGATCTTCCATTTTAGTTTTCCAAGTCACCCAATTTGTGCCATTGAAACTAACCATACGTCCAACGTTGCCGTCCATAATTCACACACAGAAATATAACGAATCGGAACCGAATTAACCAATTGTTCTGATACCAGATGTTGGGAAAATAGGCTTTCCCACAAGTGTAAATCAATGGAAGCAATATAAATAAAATAACAGAAAATAAATAAGCACACAAGATTTACGTGGTTCCCTCAAATAACTTGAGGTACATCCATGACGACCGGTAGGTCAGTTTCTTCCACTATCACCAAATCAGATTACAAAGTGGCCAAAAGGCATAAGCCTTACAAACACACCAAGGTGTAAATCACAAGAGGAAAATACCTCACAAAATAAGTGAACCAAATCTCCAAGAACAAACCGCAAGAAACCCAAATATCAAGTGAAGAAATGTTACCCACTTGAAGAACAAATTTGCAGATTTTTCTGGCACCAAAAAGGAGAAGAAGAAGGCTGAATTTTTGTTGAACCAAAGACTGCCGAAAAATGTCTTCTTGCCAAACCAACAGAGAAGAGATGAACCAAAGAAAAGGACAAAACTTATAGTCTTTGGTGGCTGCCAAATTCCTTTTAACTTGAAGACTCCAAACCAAGTCTTGGATAAGAGTCATACACGGGTAAGCCACCAAAAAATTAGCAAATTGATGAGTCCCACAAAGGAGGGAAACCCAACATTCATAACACATGTTTATAGCATGAAGGGATAAATGACAAGAATTAACAGCTTATGGTAGTGGGCCCAACAAGTGTAGTAGGATTGGTATGGATAATTGTGCCACGACAGAATTTCAATTTCGTAGTATGCACCCAACACCACAACAACACTTTAGTGCCGCGGCATACGCCTAGGGCCACGACACTATGAAGGGCGGAACACATTCTCATCACATTGAGAGTGACAAAATTGCACCACAAAAGTTCGAGGGCAACCTTGGCATGACTCTCCTCCCCCAATGCTAAAGCAAGACACAAGGATGGGATTGCACAGCCAATGAAATTGGTATCCTCAACTTATTAGACATTGTTGCTTGACTGGCCTAGTGGATTAAGAGAAGGGGCCCCACTTAGGGAGAGGGTAGTATGACCCTCCTCAAGGGAGAATTGAGTAAAGGGAATAGACGAGCGTAATTGTTAACCTCGACTTGAAACATGATTTCGAAAGTTTAGTCTGCTCAAACAGACATCTCAATGTATGTCTCACTTCCCATTGGGATGTACATGACTAGGATCTGGAGGGACTCTTACGATAACTGAAGTTATTGATTCGGATCAACATATGGGATAATGAGACATGTGAATTAGGATTGGTCGTTGAAGGATCAAAACGATGTAAGTTTCCTCTATCGAGCACCTTGGCGCTAGGGACATTGCGTCCATGGCCCTCTCAAGATCATGGTCCTGCGGTGACCAGTCGTGATCATTAACCTTGATTGTCCCCTTTCACCTCGGTTCTCGCATTCTCCCGGGGCTACCGTCAGGCTGCGTTTGAAAAAATGTCACGTTTGTCTAATTAATATAGAGGCACGTGGCTCACGGTTAGCGACCACTAGTATCACAATTGTCGGACAGCCTGACATGCCTAGGCACTGTGCGATAACTACCCGTATTACTTGCCCACTAAAAAAGATGGATTTTACTACAAGCTGGTGAGAGCATTTACTCCACTTACCTTTTGCCCAACTGGTTGGCCCATTTGTTAATAGGTTATTCGAGTTCTTTTCATCTCATCCGCTTACCCTACTCGTCCACTTCGATTATCTTTGGGATAGACACGTGTGTCAACCTCTTTTAACTTTCCACGTACCTCCAACAACATTAATGCAAGCACAAGTGTATACTCGATTCCCCTCTTATTTCACCTTCTTTGATTAATTAATCCAACCCTAAACCCTAAAATCTAAATCTAAACCCTAACATGAACTTTAAAACCTAAACCATAAAACCTATGTGTTAACACTAATAATTACTCTTCAAAATTACTTCCAATTGGCAACACAAAAAATGGTTTTTGGTGGTTTGTTTTTGAAAAAGCATCGTATCTAACACTTTATTGCAGTGCCCTTTTGGCTTTGGGGTTTTCAACACCAAAAGTTTTGGGGTAGCCTATTGTAGATGCATTAGTTTTTCCCGTCACATATTTTGTGCGATGTGTTACCTACCGTCTCAAATCTCATATTATAGAGACAAAATATATTTTCAAAATTAAAATGGTTTTCTTGTGTCGGCAATTTAAAAAATAGTTTTGCTTTGTAGTGAAGAGAATGATAATTGGTGTAATGAATTGCTTGTAGACACATGCACCAAAAAAGAATTGCATTTAGACACAAGCAAAGCATTTAATTGTGTGTTCATTTGTTGTTACCTTCCTATACCAATAAGAAACAACCTAAGAACATCAATGCTAGCACAAATATAAATTCCTTTCCCCCATTCATTTCACTTTCCTAACTAATTACTACCCTCGATTGTACGAGGCTGTAAATTTTGAAGTTACAACCGGCTATGATGCAAGCAACCCTCTGGTGTTAGTTGTATGATCCAACATATATTTTATAAGATCTAACCATTTTCTTTCACATTTTAGTTAAGATCTTCTCTCTTTCTTTTTCTCTCTCTAGCTCCGTCTCTTCCTAATCATATAACTTGAATGCTTCCATGATCAACATTCAACAAGTCCTCTGAAAAAATGGAAGCAAAAATGGCAAGAAGAGCCCTGGTATCTTCTATAATTGTAGTGTTGACTAGTTTTATCATAATGCATGCTTATGGAGAGAATTCTTTGCCTCGATTTTCCAGTGGTCATTATCATGACCAAATGCAAAAAATGGAAGCGTATAAGGCCTCGCTCCTTCGACGTGATTTGATCTCTATACCACCTAGCTCAATGTTTCCATCGCCTAGCTTTGCGTCATCACCATCACCGTCACAGTCAGTGAGTACAAAAATTTTGTTGTTTATTTTAATTTCATTTCATTATCTTTGTTGCTTCTTTATTTTTTTTTCATGACTCTCTTGTTATAGAATCTTGGGAGACTGAGATACATAACTAGTTACACTCGAAGTAACTGTTTTCATTATTTTTCCAAAAGACCCGCCCTTTATTGCTTCATTTTAAATCTATGTCAAATCTTGAAATTGAAAATAAGCAATAAAAACTCATGACAGAGATGGTGCTAGTAATTATTTCTATACATGTATATGACGTAGGTTACACCAACTCCACGTGTGTATCACGTGACATCCTATGGAGCAGACCCAAGTGGGAAAACAAACATTACAGAACCACTTCTTGGAGCAATATCAGATGCACTTGATGGTCCTAGCAATGGCTTCTTGATGGAAGGGATTGTTAATCTTGGTGGTTCACAGGTTAATCTTGAAGGTGGAACTTACATAGTTAGCCGTCCCCTGAGGTTTCCAGTGGCCAGCCGAGGTAACTCATGGTATGCTTCCAATTCTTTCAGAACTTCTTGGAATGACCCAGGTGGCAGGATGAATTCTTAGTGATTTTTCATTGATGTCCCTGGTCTTAATCACATCATATATAGTTGGATTATATTGTTAGTTTTTTCTTAGGTCAAGAATGGCATCTGGTGATGAAGAGGCAGTGAAACCTAATTAGACTATCTTCATTTTATTAATGGTGTGGTTTTTGATCAAGTCCACCACAAACCCATCTATAGTTTTGAGGCTAACTACTTCACCAAATGGCAGGTTCTTATGTGACAATGTACCCAGTCCATTTCATTCTTCCATGATTTTAAAGACTTTATATGCATGTTTTTGTTCAGTAATGGCCCATATAACACATATGAGAACCAAGCCATTGTGATCCTTGTTAGATCTTTAGAATCCCCCCTTTTTATGAGAAATTATCTAACACTAAGTGATTTGAGCATCATGGATTTGAGTCACAAGTATAATCACAAATTATTTTACTATTAAGTGAGTTGAGCATCATGGATTCAAGTCACAAATAAAATCTCTCCGCATTCAATGGAAGGAGTAAATATTGGGTGTAATGGTGACACCGTGTCATTATTGACACGTGGTGTCATCATCATCCAATAATAAATCTATAAATAGGTAAGGTGAACCGTGAACCCCACTTGGGTGATTATTAAATGACATGATAGGGTGATTACCACAATATGAGGGATCCACCTATTAATTTGTGTGTTTATTATTGGATGGTAATACCATGTGTCAATGATGACGTGGTGTTAACATTACACCCAATATTTTTTCCAAGAGAAGGCTGTGTACATCTAATTCTCACAGTAGCAGGAGTCTAGTACTCTAAGTTATCATTTTTTTTAATCTAAATCATTGTAATATCATTTTTTTTAAAAGGTTTAATTAAGCTTGAGTTCATGCTTCACCGAAAGTTGTTTCCACATATTTTTGATCAAACAGATACATGGAGGAACCTTACAAGCTTCAAACAATTTCCCTACCAAAGGATATTTGCTTAATTTATCAGCTACGAAGGGCTGGGACAAATATAACTATGAGTATGTAACCTTCAGAGACCTAATGTTGAACTCTAATTACAAGGGTGGAGGCATCCAAGTGATCAACTCACTTAGAATTAGCATTGATAACTGTTACATTGCTCATTTCACCACAAATGGTATCATAGTCCAATGTGGTCATTAGACCTACATTCGAAACTCGTTTTTTGGCCAACAAATCACTCTCAGTGGTGATCTTGGCGAAAGGAACTTCACTAGAACTGCAATAAACCTTATGGGCAATGACAACGTTGTCACCGACGTAGTTATTTTTTCTGTTGCAATTGGAATAATGGTATCGGGTCCAGCTAACACTTTTTATGGGGTACATTGCTACAATAAGGCCACCGATTTTGGTGGTAATGGCATATACCTAAAATTGCCAAGATTGACACAAACTAGGATTGTGAATTCCTACTTGGATTATACTGGAATTGTTGCTAAAGACCTTGTGCAACTTCACATTTTGAGCAATTTTTTTCTCGGGGGATGCATTTATTCTCTTCAAATCAATAAATGGGGTCGTGAATGGGGTGAATATTGTTGATAACATGTTTTTTTTTGGATCAAATAAAGGGGTTGAAATTTTTCAGTTGAATGATATCACCATATATTGTTGGGGCCTATCGTGTGCTGGTACGGGACATATTTATAGTGGGGTTTCACTTGAAGTCATGAGTAATGATCTACCACCGAGAGGATATATAACTTCTCACCACAGTTGGATCCATCTACATAGACTAGACTCATTGTACAAGCAAAGGAATTAAGAACTTTATCAAGTTTACATGTGAAAATAAACCAAATACCGTGGAACTCATGTGATCATGCAAAAAATATCGTAATGTTAGATTGATAAAAATGGAGCTTTTGGAAAAACATTTGATCATAAATGGATTTTTTTAAAAGTTACACCTTGAATTTTTCATGAGGAAAGTTCATTTGCCTCAGTTTCTATTAATCAAGTGATTTTAGTTGGGGGGATAAAAGTCAAGAAATGTTACAAGATCCATTTGAGATTCTCTCTCCAAGCCCAGTTTATGGAGTGAGTGATCACGAGCCTGAAAGGAATAGTAGAGAAGGGCAAAATCAAGAGACATAAAAGTTTTTCAAACTGTTCAAAAAGGTTGAACGAAAGTTATATTTGAGATGCAAAAAGTTTTTGATAATGTCATCTATCATTTAATTGATGCACATCAAGTGTCTTAATGGATGGAGAGACAAGTCATTCACAACATTTCTTCAAGTACCAAAGAGATATTACTTGAAGGTAATACACTACCCAATTAATTTCATGTAACCAAGCAACTCATTAGAGAGTTAGGTCTCCAATGAATTAAGGTAAATGTGTTACCACTCAAATAGTGTATCACCTAAGCGTAGTTTTTGTTAAATTATAAATTTTCTTGGAAGTCTGAGGGTGTACCTCAAGGAATTGTGTGAACTTAGAAAGAAAAGAAAGACAAAGTAAAATTCCTTTGAAAGTTGTTTAATAGATTTGAAATCAGAAAATAGTAAATCTTGGTTCAAAATACGAATTGGGAATACTAAAGCAATCAGGAATACCCTTTCAATTTCACACAGTAATTATTAATGATCTAATTTTTGAACTCAATTGAGAATCAGCTAAAGACTAATTTTAATCGGAATATTTAGTGGTGCTAATATTGAAAACATCTAAAAGTATAATTGATAAATTATTCAGCTAAATCTAATTAAGTATCTAATTGCTCAACACAAGCATTTACTATGCTTGAAGTCTACAATGAATCATGTTTTTCAACAAATAAACCTTAGTTTCTTCATAATTAAACTAGTAGTTGTACATGTGCTTTGTACGTGAACCATTTTGAGAATAGATTATTGAATACTAAGAAGGTTGTGGACACTTTAATCATTGTCTTATTCATGATACAAAAACTCACATTTTACTTAAGTACTTGAATGTAATATTTCATGTCCAAAAACCCTGCTATTGTCCAATTTTAGACTCTGGCATTGTGGCTATTAGTTTTCTATAGAACACAAAAAGCAACAAGGAGGCTAATTCACTTGCATATTTTTGTGAAAGGAAAAAAAAAATATTCAACAAATAATATCATGTCTATATCTGCATGTGGCAAAATAATATAGAGATGATTTTGAGCAAGTCTTCTAGCAATTTGGAGCATTTTTTTGAATTGATTTTTCAAGGAATGCAAAAAACATTTTCGTCCAATAATATAATTTTCCAGTTTCAGGTTCTATTGTCTAAGCTATGACAAATCTTGGTTGAGCCATTTCATACCTATGAGATTTGAGCATCATAGATATTGGATTATGGCAACAACTAAAATTATCTATCAAGAAACAATGAACAATTTAATAGATAATTTGGATGAAAACCCTAAAAAAATAACAAAGTGATGAAAACCCACAAAAAAAAAATAAAATTAAAACACATATCAAAACAAAGTGAATTTTTTATAACCTTAACTATGACTCCTGGAGAACACTGGCATCAAAGATATATGATTGCCACTCCTTATAATTAATATTGTCCCCGAAATCAATACATACCTGAGTGAACATACATGTAAGATAAAGAGATGATAATATTACACTAAATAGGAAATAGAGAACTTAAAAAAAAAAATTGATGCCTAATGCAATAACCATAATTCTACTAAATCAAATGAAAAGAAAATACAGCAAGTGGATTGAAGACAGGGAAAAAAACACCCAATCACTTAATCAAGTTAAATGAATACCTATTTGAACCCAAAAAATAAATATAACATTGTTGACAAACAATATTACATTTCACTAAGATTTGTCTAGAGCTGGGCTATATTCCATTTTCACTAATGTTGCGTGAGCTTAAAATAAACACCCAATTGCCACATGGACCAAAGTCATTAAACAAAGTCAATGAAAAGGACCACAATGTAAAATAGATAAAAAATTACCAGATAACTAAAAATTACTCATATATACCATAAGTATTCTTTTACCACTCTTACTAGCATTTGGAAGTTTAGGATTGTGAAAGGTGCTTGCTTTTTTCAACCCGAATCAACTGTTTTGTCCCATACCAGCATAACTTGATATTCCAATTACTTTCACATGCATATTCATGCAAGTATAATAATAATTAGTCTTCATATTTATGTGATCCATAAGTAATAGATAAAATGATGTAGAGGTAGACAGCGATACCTCGATACATGAAGATTCGCGAAGCAGGGACGTAGTAGACCTAAGGAGTGAAGAGAATGCTATTACAAATATCAATACCCATTTATATTGATGTTGATCCATCATCTTTTATGGAAAAATTGGCAATTACAACAAAAGCCCTATGAAATGGAAAGAAAAAGTAGCCAAAGAAACAAAATAACGAGATGAGAATGCAAGAACCAGTGAAAGAAGAATTGGTCTGAATGTATCTCCTTCCTTACTGTAGGACATAAAAATGATCGCAACAACTAGTGTGGTGAAATAAAAATGGTTTTTGATCTCAACAATGAATATTCATTTTGGTTGCTAATGAGTTGAGGTCAATAGAACATAGTATGCGGCTTGTAAATAACTCATAAGATGAACACCATTACCTATTTTTCATCTTTCTGCACAAACAAATACTATAGCAAATTGTAAGAACATGTCTCTTCGACTTGCCCACAAGAAAGAGGCAAAATGGAGCTTAATTTTTAAGAAAACATATATGAGAATATTAAAAAAAAAATCAAATGTGAAGAATAGTGATGGATATTGTTCAGTGTTGCTACATCGAATGAACCCAATTATGGCAATACAAATTTGAGATAACTGAAATATTGTAGTCTAAGGAGTGGGATTCAAAGAAAAATTAGAGATACCCCAAAACAACACCGACATCAAAAACTTGACAACAATATTGAAATTAAAAACAGAGAAGCATATTGCTTTTATGGGCTGCTTTGGCCATCTCATGGATAAGGCATCAAGAGAGATAGCCAGCGTCAATGTTTTTATTAAAAGAAATATTATTTGGACTTAAAATATAGACTTGAAATTAATTGTTCCATGCTTGTAATGGAGCTATGTCTATATGGGTTTTCATCATTAACAGAGAAGATCATAAAGTATAGTAATTGTTTCTTTCGTTTTCCCATTAAAGTTGATTCCTTCTCCAAAAGAATAAAGTTCTCTTTTCATCTACTACAAAAGAATAACACCCAACAAAAGTCACTCAATTGCTTCTATAACTTTCTCTCCTTATCTGTACAAGGAAAGAAAATTAAGTCACAATAATATCATACTTTTAAAATATCTACATGCTTCAATCTAATTAATATCCCCAAAATTCATAACAATATGCTCCATATTTTAAAACAAACCCACATAATAAAACTACTTAAAGATCAATCCATAACAAGTTCTACCCAAAATATTCAATGAATTATATCAAGTAGCCTAACACATAATCAATTATGTTTGCAGTCATCGACGTCACAAGTACTGTCTCAAGCATACATAACCACCTATTGTCCAACCTCAATACCTACAAAAAATAAACCATTAAGCTTCAAAAAAAAAAGATAAAATAATCAAACAGGACAAAAGAGAGAACTTGGGGACAATTTTGGAGAACAAAGGGATCTAGTGAGATTAGTAGAGTAAATCAGATATAAAAAGTGCTAATAACATCCTGGAAAAACCCATGTTGATGGAGCGTTTTTACATTCAACAAAAAATCAAATATATTTGCTCAAATTATCCTAAAATTATAAAAATTAGGGTCACTACCTTCAATAAATATTCTTAAAATTGACTGAGAAAATGTTTCAATTGTTCCTTGACCATGAAGAGAATTATTGATATTCCTCTCACCAAAAGCTTTACAACCTATTGAAATAAGATTAGAAGAAAGGATCCTTGGTCAGATTGCAGCAAAATTGAAATGAGACACAATATCAGAAAATATTTAGAAATTTACTCCCATATGATGACAACATTGAGAGGAAGCAATTGAAAAATAGATGAATGACATTTTTGCTCCATGTAAGTATGACAATTACCAGATTGTGAAACTAAGCTCCAATTTTCAAAAACAAAGTTCAATTAATACACTGATAAGAGCATACAGAATTCTCAGATATATACCACATCAGTTGAGCCACACAAGAACGTTAGATTGACTGTTTGAAGTGGCCCTCTAAGAACATGAATAGGGTCAAGAACTTTTAGTTGCATCAATAACACATATAGAAGATTTTAGAGTAGTTGCTGAACATGGAGACAGTTAAATAGTTGAACAAGAATATTTTATTCAAACTTATGATTGATTAGGATGAATTGCAATGGCTCGGCAAGTTTTGGAAGGGTGATGAGATTCTCTATTGATACCCACAGAGAAGACGATGAGCTAAAGATTAGAAAGAGAGAAGTGTCTGTTATGGGAGACTAACAGACGTAATGCATTAGGATTGATTAACTTGATTTAGAAAGAGAGAAGTGTCTGTTATGGGATATATATCACAATATTAGAGGGACCTTGAGAAGGTGATTGTTGTGCAATATTATCATTCCTTAAGCTCAAATTGAGATGATAATTTTATCCCAAGTTATCATTCTTTATAGCATTTGCCTGGTCATATAAAACTTGTTTAAATGTAGGAATAGTGGGACACTCCTTTGTGGAATAACCCAGGACTTCCCAAATGCTACAAATTTCCTCTCGAGGAATAGTCTAAACCTCATTAACCTTCTATTTGGACATAAAACATAAAATCTCAGGAATATTCAATGTATTGACATATGTCAATTCGAATGCACTAGGAAGATGCCACATAACAGAATCTAAAGAAGGAAGGGAGATGATCAGCCACGAGTATTTGAAAAGAAGAATAAATAACTAGAGGTTACCATCGATAGAAACAACATCATCAAAGATACTGACTATAAAAGGTCATGTAGTGGAGAAGATGAAGAATATAATCAAACCCCCTGATGAAGTCATTTTTAAAGTCAATCCAAAACTTGTCACTGAATAAGAGAATTTCTAATTTACCAGATTACCTGTTGTGGAGGAAGTTCGGAATATGGTTTTTCTATGTCAGTTAATAGTTCTCCTCGATTGAATGGTGTATCCCCATTTAACACGTATAAGACACAGACACTTCTTGAACACTGTAGTCATGGACATATGCCCAGTACTCTTTTAGCCATGTCCTAATGCCCATAATTGAAAGACAACACTTCAATGATGATAACTCAATGATAATAACTATCAAGTTTGCTACACTTCATACACGAAACAACACAATGATAATTATGATTCGTCAGTATAAAAGGTTCACGTTAGAGTACCAACATAAGATTTACCTATCATAAAATATTAATTTTCATTGAACCGTTACTATAGTTATCTTTGTACCTATTTACACATTAACATAATATGATAAATAAATACAAATATTTGTAACATGTCCACTACTTTTTATTTGTCCCATTTATTTTAGAAATTACAAGACAACATATTCGCATTCGATCATCTAGAATTTAAATTTAAACAACCATTTTTCAGCATAAAAAATTAATAGCTTCTAATTCAAAATTTGTGATTGTAGAATGACATTGAAACTCGATATATTAACCTCTTACTAATGAAGCTTCGGCAGGCACTCAATATAAAAAAAACTCTTACTAATGAACCTCTATCTCCAAGGTTATTTACACACCAAACAACTTTTCAAATTATTTATCTTTGAGCTCTCCATAGTTAAATGTTGCTGTGTAATATTCCAAATTTCATATTTAATTTTATAATTATCTTGCCATTAAAGAGAGCTTACCTGTCGGAATGAAGAATGTTTGGAATTTGGCTAGACTCTTCCATCTGTTGGAGGAAGGCGGCAAACCAAGATTGGAGCTCGGCCTGCACCTTTGTCTCTATTGAAGCATTCACAGTGGACTCCAGGGAATCTACTGGTGAAGTGATCTCACTAATCTGCCTCTCTAGCAACTTCAAACTCNGCCCAGTACTCTTTTAGCCATGTCCTAATGCCCATAATTGAAAGACAACACTTCAATGATGATAACTCAATGATAATAACTATCAAGTTTGCTACACTTCATACACGAAACAACACAATGATAATTATGATTCGTCAGTATAAAAGGTTCACGTTAGAGTACCAACATAAGATTTACCTATCATAAAATATTAATTTTCATTGAACCGTTACTATAGTTATCTTTGTACCTATTTACACATTAACATAATATGATAAATAAATACAAATATTTGTAACATGTCCACTACTTTTTATTTGTCCCATTTATTTTAGAAATTACAAGACAACATATTCGCATTCGATCATCTAGAATTTAAATTTAAACAACCATTTTTCAGCATAAAAAATTAATAGCTTCTAATTCAAAATTTGTGATTGTAGAATGACATTGAAACTCGATATATTAACCTCTTACTAATGAAGCTTCGGCAGGCACTCAATATAAAAAAAACTCTTACTAATGAACCTCTATCTCCAAGGTTATTTACACACCAAACAACTTTTCAAATTATTTATCTTTGAGCTCTCCATAGTTAAATGTTGCTGTGTAATATTCCAAATTTCATATTTAATTTTATAATTATCTTGCCATTAAAGAGAGCTTACCTGTCGGAATGAAGAATGTTTGGAATTTGGCTAGACTCTTCCATCTGTTGGAGGAAGGCGGCAAACCAAGATTGGAGCTCGGCCTGCACCTTTGTCTCTATTGAAGCATTCACAGTGGACTCCAGGGAATCTACTGGTGAAGTGATCTCACTAATCTGCCTCTCTAGCAACTTCAAACTCATCCTACTTGCATCAGCCTCCCCCCTAAGCTCCTCATTCTCCCTTTCTAGTTGAACTCGGATGTGATCCTCAACTCTAAATGTCCTAAGCTCTACAACCACATATATATCCTGATCATTTTTCACCGAGCACTTAAAAGAAAACAAAATGTATGAACGCCCATTTAAAAGCCAAACACCAACATAAAAAAATCACAACCCCCAGTCCCATTAGGTTTTCTCCCTTTGCTGACAATGACAAATTCGTTGATCAACATTTCTAGATGAAAATGATACTAACAATGACATGTAANCTCCCATTCCCATTAGGTTTTCTCCCTTTGCTGACAATGACAAATTCGTTGATCAACATTTCTAGATGAAAATGACACTAACAATGACATGTAATCAAGCAATATCTGTAGCTATAACTAGGAATGGAAGCATTCGCAGAATTTTGAATAAACACCAACACAGAAAGATCTACAAAAGCTGCAAAAAATCAAATGGGTTATGCTGAACAAAATTTCAATGCACACATAGTGCACTACAAAAAAAATGACCAAATATCTAGATTACATATTGATTGTAGATGATATCTTGGGAAATTGATATTTTGTGAAATTGTTGTTGAATGTAGATGTTGATATATGCTAGATGATATATTGATATTATGAGAATTTATGAAAATTGTATGCTTGTGATATAATTAACCATGGTGTATGTTGAAATGTGGTTAAGACTGTTCACATGACACTCTTGGACATAATATAGTATTGCAATCGTATATTACATTGCATATGCACGGAGACATCGCATTCATGGGCATTAGGCATAAGTGTGGGTGTGTGTGCATGGTTGTCATCAAAGACCACACTTGGTGGATGATGGGTGGGCTCAGGAAAGTTAGATTGAAGATCTAGATGAGTCGTACGATTTGCATTGAAAATTGGGTTGGGGTTAGCAAGAAGGGCTAAACTATTCCTTGAGTGAGAGACCCGGTGACTAAGATACACACTTCCCTTGGTTTAGTCCATAAAGTGTGTCGGTGTACGGAGAACCGTTGGTGGAAGTCCATGAATTCCGTGTCGGTTGAGTGCCCGTTGGTGTAAGTCCATAAATACCCACCCCAAGAAATACTTAGAGATTTTAAATGGTCATTAGATGTATAAAATCAATGACGGGGACTTGAAATGCCCATATTTGCATGCATGGCGTTTGCATGTGTTGAAGGAGCCGGTGAGGGCTCGGGTTGATGTATGTGTGTGAGTCTCATCTCATATCATGACATGACATGGTGAATTCCAACATTAAGTTGTATATTTTTGATTGGAATGCTTTGTGGTTTGTTAAAATTGCATATGACATTTCATATGCATCTAAGTTGGGGAGTAACCTCTTTAAGAGATACGCTATTTAACGTGACTCACCCTTTATGGGAAAACATTTCAGGTGTGCGTTAGACACCGGTGGAAGGATCCATTCAAGGCCTCAAGGATGAAGGAAAGACAATTTGTGGCTTTTAAATCATGTTTTGTAAAACTTTGATGTAATTCAGTTTTAGGCATGTAATTATATGAAAGTGATTGAAATCCAACTTGTACGAACTATGTTTGACGTGAAAACTTCATTATGCATGTGTTAGGTTGATATAGAGGGGATTGGAAATCGAAAATGGATGAAATGGGTAATTATGGGCACACCTATTGGTAGGGAGTTGAGCTCTTCTACTGGTAGATGTGGTCCAATAAGCATTATCTACCAGTAAAATGTCACTATTCCTACCAGTAGAAAAATTCTAGTAGGCTCTTTCTACCAGTAGAATAGGGACTTCTTCTACCAGTAGGATTTTCACAGATTTTCTAAAAATAGGAGTCTAGTACACAACTTCTACCAGTAGGTTTTTGAACACTTCTACTGGTAGGTTTTCTACAAACTTCAAAATTTTGAAACATTTTAGCAAACTCTGGGGCAACTATTCCTTTTGCTCAAAGGGATTATATGTGACATGAATGACTATGAGTTGAGGTATAATGTAACGCCCCAAAATCCACTTTAGATGGTATTACTATCTAAAATCATTCACATCATGAGAGCAACTAATAAAATCTATAAATAAAAAAAAATTTCATTCATTATTTATAATATCTACAACATCATTCAAAAGAATGTGTCAAACCATGACTATTACATCCAAAAGAATATGCCAAAGTATGACAATTACACTTCAAAGATTAACTTTTATCTTGCAGTGGAATAAACAAAATATCATCCATACAATGTCTCAAAATGCATCCATAGTCTAGAACATTACGAGATCAACTCTAGACATCCCCCTCAGGATTGACGCTTCCATCCAATTGAGCTTCCCAAGCTACTTGCTCATCAATTCCGAACTCTTCCTCTAAAGTGAAATCTAAAAATAAATATTGTTTGTAAAGGGTGAACACTAAGCTCTGTAGGAAAATCCTCCCAAACTCGAACAAGATTTAGAAACATATAAAATAGTTCGATCACTTTACAAAATATCATATATAATTTGAAATAAAACAGTGACAATTTATCAGATCTCAAGTTCACGCAATACCAATAAATTAAATGAAGAGTAAAACCAATTTCCAAACAATAAACCATTTCGAACAATAAATAATAACCCACAATTTGTACCATTTCCACAACGTATCTCAGGCATGATGTATGATATCGCATGAATAAACACATCGAGAATATCCTGGCTCACACATACACTCCCAATCCTCGCAAGAATATCCAACTTTAGGAAGGGTGTATACCGACGTATCGGCAGTGACGATCCAACCCAGGAATAGTATACTAACCCTTAGCCTCGATACCACGTGAGCGGATAGTGATTTGGTCTTTGCAAGGCACCAACCCCACTACAAGTAGTAAGAAACCTTCAAACCCGCACGAAGTAAGAAACACATCTACTCACTCTACGATACCCGGTCAATGGCCACCCATGGTCATCCAAACATCCACAAGAGATAAAATACAAACCCATTTCCTCAAGTCACAAACAAATCCAAAAATCCCCAAATTCCACATGTATTAATTCAATAGAATAATTTAAGAAGATATGCAAGAGATCATAAAAAAATATCATTTTATTGTTAAATATAAAGTACTAGAGTTTTGAAATCAATAAAAAAAGAATATTGAGAGAAAAATATATTTTTTCTTGAAAACTAGGATTTTTAAGACAAGAAAAAGAGATTTCATGGCTATCAAATCATAGCTTCCATCAAAGTATGGTAATATTTGCAAGAGTATCAACAAATAATGATTTCATAACATATATGTAGGATTGAGAGTCAAAACATACATACATATATATATGCCCTAACCTCAATGAACAAGAATAGGAAGAAACCCTACATTGCTTCCTTAGTGTTGTGTGACAAACTAGAGATTTTGATCTGATCCAATGCATAAATCCCCATCAATCTTGTGTTTGTCCCCTTCCTTCTTACTCTCCAAAGCTCTCTAGTGGTTAGAATTGATGAAATACTGAAGAAACTAAGCCTAAGGAGTGTTCCAAAGGAATTTATAGTGAAACAATTGGAGAGAACACCCAAAACAGGTATGGGACATGAAGCCCCTGGTTTGGTGCATCTGGATGCGTGTTTTTTACTTTTCAAACGCGTGTTTCTTCGGCTAATTTTCCGCCAAACGCGTCTAGATGCTTGTCTATTCCCATCCGGACGCGGGTGGCAGGATATCCTCAACTTCGAGATTGATTTTGACCTATTTAGAAGTCGATTCAAAATAATTTCGTAAAATACACTTTTGTAGCCCTTGAAGTCTGGTTCCTACTATCCAAAAATAAGATCAATTAGAGTTAGGAGGAAAAAGTTATGACTAAACTACTAAGGTAGTGTCAAATTCCTTTCTGCCCAAATCCTCTCCAAAATAGGTTTTAACTCCAAAATACTTTCTAAATTCTAATACACCCCATATTATCTCTCCCAATGTTTTTCTACCTTTCGGATTCAATGAATGCATTATTTTGACCTAAAAATATTCAAAAACTTATCTTATCACCCTTCTTAAGCTTAAACACCTTCTAAACTAAATTTGACCATAAAGTCAATTTGTTCAAAACTCAAACTTCATGATCAATCTTTCAACAATGATTATAAGTTTCTACCATCATTTTATTCATATTAGGAGAAATCTTAAGATAATAGTATCGTTATTTAATTTTAATATGGGGTCTTATATATAAAGGACTATTGATTGATAAATGATAAAATATGTAAATAGGTTATGATCCCAGTTAAGAGGATGCTATCGGCGTGATGTCGGGTTATGCGACAATTATGGGTACTTTCGCGGGTAGATAGGTGATCAATGGTTGACAAAGGACTCTCGATTTTAGGGGTGTGACAGTTTGGTATCAGAGCTTAGGTTATACGATTTATCTAGGGCTTGCGAGGCATGGGTTTAGACCATTGCATCCATTGTGCATTACATGTTATGTGCTTTAAATGCTACATATTTTGTGTTATATGTTATATGAACAATATGCATGATTGAATGTATATGGAAAAGAGACACTACGGTTAGAGAACATAACTTTGGGGGTCAAAAAACAAAGGAACAGGACGGTTCAGGGTGTTGATGTCTACTAGTGGTGGCACATGCTCTACTAGTGAGACAAGGAGAGAAATCTAAAAGTTTGAACTTGATCCCTCTTTTGGGATACTAACCTAGTGCTCTATTGCTATTCGACATGTGTGTAGATGGTACATAGAGGAAGAGGACGTGGCCGAAAAGGTGGCCAGAATAACAACCAACCACTACTGGCCTTTGTCCAACAAGCCTTCATGGAGGCTATTTGCACGATAATGACTATCTTTGCATAGGCTAGAGCCAATGTGGGTCAAGGGGGCTCAAATAACCTCCAAAAGTTCAAGGCACACAAGCCTCTGGCTTTTATGGGAAGGGCGGATCCGATGGTGGTCGACCACTGGTTCCAACAAGTTGACAAGATCTTAGAGGCT